ACTTCGCTTTCTCCTTCTATCTTTCAATCTCTCTCTCTCTCTCTCTCTCTCTTTCTCATTTTCCTCCACAGCAATTCGTCTAATCACCATCATCTTCCGCGAAACAAAAAGTGGTAGAGACAGAGAGAGATGAAGAGGTTCTTTAAATGGAGCGGGGTGACTGTGATAAAACTGCCGCTCTTGTTTCGCCTTTTATTCGGTCGTTTCCCTTCGGTGCCATTCGAGATGACGCGGTCGATGCTGAACGATTAGTTCTTGGAGAGAAGTATTGATATTCAAAGAAACAAAAAAAGAATCACGAATCTCTGTGGGATATAAAATATACACATCGTTCGTGATGTTTAGGAGAAAACTTGGTTCGACGTATTAACGTAAAAAAAAAATCGCGCGAATTAAATTACATTCAAAGAAAATCTGATTCATTATCGGATATCGTGAAACGGTATCGCGCGGCGAAAAAGCGGAATATATTGCCCGAACAGTTTGAATTTACCTTTCACGCGACGTGGGAGTATTTATCGACAAGAACGAAGATATGTAGCAGATAGCGATTAACCGAAATGCGATCCTCTATCCTTCTTCCCGAATTCCATTCGCAAAAGTGGCCGTAAGATCGTTTTTCCTGCAGTCCTTGCGGACCCTCTCGGCGCTATGCGTCTATTGGAAGACATTCGCACACCGCGCGAGAAACAATTCGACTACCTGCTTGTATCACGATGGGCCATCTGGAGCTTCCACTATCTACGCGAAAATTGCTCGTATAAAAGACATTCCTGAAGGTCCGACGAAAATTCTCCATGTCGCTTGACGATCCAGGCACCCCATATAAAATTTATATAACGCAATTTGGCAAATAATCAAGAGAGAGAGAGAGAAAGAAAAAGAGAGCACTGTGTGAGTGCACATAGAACACATACGTGATTATTACTCGAAATCGGTTTCTTAAATTGGATTTTTTAAATTTCATACATACCTAATTCTTGCATTTAGATTATTGAATTAGAATTGACAATATTTCGGATTTGTTCTTCTTACATAAAACAGAATCTATTATATAGATTCTCGGAAAAACATTTCATTTTCCAATTTAATTACGTTATAATTTATTGTGGTTTTATATTTATATATTGATATACACACGGCACATACGCGCGTACGTACAAAGTAATGTATTTTGAGGATATTAATTTAAATAATTTCTCCGAAAACAATTACGGGCGTCAATATAAAATATATAATTTATATATAAATTGCTGATTAAAGCGCAGCATTGTTAACTCAGCCAAGATAAAATACGATACATTTTGTTTAAACGAAGTTTAAACGCGACTATCGTTCTAACGTTCCGAACTTCGATTGCTCGAGGAGACTATCCGGCGGAAAACGTTCCGCGACTGATACTACTCGAGCTTTCTCTTCGGCGCGTGAAAAAGCAACGAAAAGAGTCCGAGGAGAAAGATGGTCGATGGTAGACAAAGAACACGAGGCGAAAAATAGAAGAGCGAAAACGAAAACGCGGCTTGAACTCGGGACGCGGCAAAACAAAAGACGGGAATTCGAGGATCAGGAAACGTCTCGAGGACGAGCAACGACAACGACGACGGCGGCGTACGAAAGACGGGTGGGAATTCCTTCACGAGAAGAAAATATTTAATCTTTCGATAAAAGGGGCGATCATCGAACTGGAATAAGAACTAGATTTTTCGACGCGGACGAATTTATTATAAAGCAACTCGTTTCTCTTGGTCTCTTTTCGCGGCGAATCGCGCGTCAAGTTTCCCAAAATTTTCTCTTCAAAATAAAACATTCACCTTCGTTAGGCAGAGTTAATCTCGTTACAGGTCGTGGCAGGCAATAAAGATTAGTCCGGGACGCTTTAGTTAGCTTCATCAAAAAAAAAGCTCATCCGATCGGGGAAATCGAGCTGGAAGGAATCCTTAGAGTTTGCGCGATCGGGCGATCCATGATTATACAGCTACACGGGAATCCCGTCGCGCATCCCAGTCGGCGGGAAATATTTGTCAGCGGTTAAAATAAATTCCCGATATTGAGCTGGTTTCAGACAGAGTTTTTCCGCTTAGTCTACGGTGCGCGGGCCGTAAGCGGATATGTCGCAAATGGATTTGCCGCAAGTTTAAGTGCAACCCGAGTGGTTGCGAGGAAGTATATCTGATAGTCCGATGGCAAAAAATATATTTACCGCTCCCGTAGCTAGCACAGACAGTCTAACGCAAAACCACCGAACCATCGTTCCTTTTTCTTTTCTTTTGCAAGACTATCTTCTATATACATTACGCGTGAGTTTCGTAGAACATCGAATATTAAACTCTCGCGTTTTACAATATCCAACTTCTTACTCGTATTTTTACTCGTACAATTGTGGGAGAAACGGTGCGCGACTGCAAAGAAAGAAATTATCGTCATTTTTCGAGAAGAGAAAGCTCAGTGCTATCGTAATTCACGGCGTGTGTTCGATCTGAATTATAAATTTGTCAGTATAATACGATCCCTACCATTAACATTAACTAACCTCCCGGTTCATTCGTTGTTTCGCCGTCTCGTTCAAACTAGAGACACTTAAATATCCTCAATTTCTTCCCGTGTATTTAATAAGGTAATGAAATAATATTAGTAATATTAAATTATTCTCGTGTTCTTCATTTAGAAGTTTTAACCGTGGTCGGTAAAGCGTTCTCTTCGCGTTTTTATTTTTGTCGCAATGACCCGCCAATGAATCATCAGTTCTTGATTGAAACGCGAATAGAGTGCTCGTATAAAGAAAACAAATAACGGGAGGAAATAACAACTCGAAGCTGCCCGTTCAGTGACGCGTAAACGCCCCCGATCTTAAGACGATGATTCAATTCTAACCGTAACGATCGATTTGTTCGTGCCCTTGCGACATTACGGTCGGGTGCTCGCTAGATCGAGAGCAATAACGTCGCGTGCGCGAAATGTACGTATCGTTAGTCCCCGACAATTTCGTCCCGCTTGCCAGGGCAAGAGAGAAAACACTTCACCCCGCTGAAACCGAAATTGCCGGGAACTCGCCAAATGCGTGAATTAAAACGAAATAGAGAGCGAAGATCCGCGCGGTCCGTTGCCAATCGCGATCGTTATTGTCTCGAAGTTAGCTGGTGATCGTCCAAGTTTGCCTCGGCGCCGAGAGGGAGAGATACTTTCTCGCCTAGTTACGCGATTGAATGGCGTGGAAATCGACGAAAGATATATTTTCGCGATCGCAAAGGAGTTCCCCGCGCAGCGGACGCGCGCACGACGAAGTTAAGTTGTACATTTTTCCAGTACAAGTTCCGCGACGAGGATATAGGACGCGCCTAGATGGTGCACGCGAGGAATCGGAGCTTCCGACCAAGCGACCGACCGACCGAAGTGCTACTTGATAATAAACGAATGTATGGGGCGTCCTGGGAAGCTTCGGCCATTTCTCGTGCGTGAGTTTCCTCGATTGCGCGAAGGCAAATCGCGAGCAGAAAGGATAGCTTCTCGCTCGCGATTCTTCGCCTGTGATACGAGATTGATAATAACATTCGCGATCGATGGCAAAGTTTTCGAGCGGCGAGAAGTTTTCTGATTCTTGTAATCGAAAAGTACTTTCCTTGGGAAAACGCGCGGATTTTCCGCCGGTCAAGAACAAAGTTTCCGTTTGTATAGCGTATTTCCCGAACTTTTCTCTGCGTTGCACCGAGATTTCGCGGCTTCTTCGAGGGGCGGTGGCGGGCATGGCGGACACACGAGCAGGACGCGTCGCGCGCGCGCTCAAACTTGGGCAACGTTTCGTGAATTTTGAAATGTACGTTCTTGCATCCTTAATACCCGCAAAGGAAAGCGGCGGCGACGGCTTTCGTCGCTCCGGTGGTTTATTACAACGGTCTCCGCCGTTGCGCGGCACGAGATTTATCGGCCTTTCTACCCTCGCCTTTCCCCTCCACCTCTTCTCTTCCTCCCTGGCTGGCCCGGTAACTGCGGCTACTCCGCAAAATACAGCGAAAGGAACGGTCGCGTTACAAAATGAATGCCGCGCGGAAGCGAGAAGGAATCGCACATTCGTTTCTTGAAGTTCTTACCATCCACAATGCGGGACCAGACAAGTTGACGGAAACCACCATATGTTTCCCCATGACGAGATTTGAATGTAAATATAAAATGAAACGTGGCATCGGGCTTCTCTCTGAATAAAAGACATGAAAAAGGAAACGAAAAACCATACGTCTGGCGAATTACATATCAGCGAGTTACGTAATTTTTCGCGAGTAGTTCGACCTAAAAATTCCAACAGGGATCGTACCTTCAAAAGGCGAAGCTGGGGTAAATCGTCTCTCGAGCCGTTTTAACGTACTTGACGACTGCGACTTTATACATATTCTCTAGATCGTGAAAGGTTCTCCGCAAAAGGAGCAAATTGTATTTTAAAGATCGATGCGTTGCAAGAACCGTGACAAGCGTTGTTTGCGGTGTAAACAGATTTACGATGGTGAATGCTTCCCTGTAGGGCTCGCGTCAGATAGATACAAATCCCGTTAAAAAATGCATTCTTCCGCGCCCGTCCGAGAGAGAGGAAAATAACTCTATCGGCAGCGTAAAGTAAGAAGCTAAGCTTCTTGAATGTTTCATAGCTGTTTCTCGATACGCTGAAAGACGCGAAAACGAACATTCGCACATTTGCTCTGTTCGCGTACTCTTCACGATGATGTAAAGCGTTATATATCTTGTTGTTGAAATAACCGCGGTGTTTCCTCGAGAATGATTGCATTCTTATGTATAAATGCTAATTGCGGATAATCTCATGAATAATTCTCGTAGCGCCGCAAAGAGAAAGTTATATAGGCCAAAAGAAATTATATATGTCTCTATGATCTCTCCGATCAAGAAAGAGTGACGAAAGATTTGTAAGAACTAAGTGCAAATTGCAAGTGTATAAAAAACAAAAAAATTATAATTTTAAAAGCTTCAAAAAATTCGATTTTTTTCAATTTTTTCACGGGGGTTTTTGGCTTCTTTTCACGGATGAATAAAAAATTGGAAAAAACTTGATTTAAACATTTTTTTCACGTATTTTTCAGTTCCCTTCCGAGGAAAAATGGATAAAAGCGATTTTTTAATTATAAAAAAAAATTATCAGTCGCAACGTCGTACAATTATTGGCGCATTAAGTAAGAGAAATGGCAAGAAACGGCGAAAATACTTTTCAAGATAGAGTCGGCCGCGGAAATTACGATCGGTATTTATTACGCGTGTAAAATGAAAGACACGCGCGAGTTAATTAACCAATACACTGACTTCCGTGATAAATTACCGCGGTCTTACCGCTACTCGCAAAACGCAATCGCAGAGCGCCGGTTGGAAAGGTTCGTAACGAAACTCGTTTGCTTGGCATTTCGTGAGACAAGCACGACGCTTGTTGCTGCCGACAACTCTATCTCAGAACGCCGGCGTGGAAATAACTCTGATTTGCGTGCGTATCCGCCGCGAATTGCCAGCCGAACAAGCAAAATACAATCCGCAATTTCCGCGACGTCGTCGTCTTGTATATACACGGTGTGTCTGATTCTCGATAGCGAGCATAAACGCGCGATCTGCTGTGGCAACAACTTCGCGTGAACATATTCGGGAAGTCCTACGATCGTTTTAAGCGCGAGCAGAGTCGATGCGCCATGCAGTCGGATTAAATTCGCGGTTTCGGAGTTTCGTTCTTTCCCGTTCCCAGGTGCAATGTGGCAAATTCGATCGTATCTCACATCCCCCGTGAAATTATATCCCCGCATATTCGACTATTTGCGTGTTACCGGGCAAAGGGGTATAAGGAGCCGCGTAGAGAAGAAGAGGGAGGCGAGTGCTCGGGCGGGAAGGGTGAATTACCGGAGAGGCAAGATACCGTTATAGCGATACTCGGGGTAGCGAGAAGGTCGCATAGCTATTTGTAATTGTAATTAGCAGCTGGCTAATTCATTACGCCACCAAGAAATATACGGTGCGCGGTATCCTACTTGGCTACGGCGGAGCGAAATCCAACAGGAGAGAAAGCCCGCGGGATACTAATTATTGTAAACACCGACGTATGCGACAAATCATCGCATCTAGCGACGGGACACGCAAAAAGCACGCAAAGAAGATCTAATAATGAGAAAGTGGAACAACCGTAGTCACGTTGATGGGAGAAGAGAGAAAAATAAAGCGCGGGACAAAAGAGAGAGAAAAATGCAAAGACCTGGTGGCGTTTCTTGCGGGGATTTCAAATATATTTTTGGATTAAACATATATATACATAGAGTGTCCCAGATTTTCCGTGACCTTTTTCGCGCGTGGACCCGGATAATTTACGATAAATTGTCTCTTAATAAAAACATCGGGGCGTAGACATTTTTCATTTATACGCGATTAAAGATGTTTTCTTCCAAATTATACGTTCGCTTGAATTGGACCAGTTTCGGATTTACTTGAAGCTGAAATTTAAAATAACGGGTACATTGGTGTCTAATCAAATTGTAGTTAGGAGAAATTCGAGTTTAGATTAATTAAAGAATTTAATCGTGAGACGAAACACGTGTGATCTAAGACGGTCGATGTGATTTCGCGAAAGCAGAGACATACCTAACGATGAGGATTTTTATTAACGCGTTGGATCTTCCGGAATAGCGAAACAAGACGTCGACAAGTGATTCTGCATCGGAAAGATTCGAAGTAACGAGCTGAGTCGCTTTTGAAATTCGAGCATAACGAGCTGAGTCGAGCTACGGGGTCTCAGTGAACGTCAGGTAGCAGAACGAGATAAATTCGCGAGATCATGAAACACGCTAGCTAGCTGGCTGGCTCGAGAATGTCGAGGTTGTCATCTGGGAAAAAATACTGCGACAGACTGCGACGCGTATCATACGAAAAATAGCGAAACGCGATAACTGGATTCGGCGCGAATATGCGTTTAACTGCCGTTGTTCTTAATTTCCACGGTTTATCCCGCCAGACTATCCTATCCTGTACACCGCGGGCACTTTACGTTCCGTCGGGACTATAAACACGACGACTCTCCGAGTTTTGTGACTTTCGTTGAACAAATCGGCTGGAAATAAAGGCGAAGGTTCCGGCAAACAGTCGCTCTTCTTGTTGTTCCGTGTAAATGAAGTGCGTATTGTTCCTCAATCGATGATATTATCATTTCGGGCAATGAAGAAATTATGATGTTTTTCGGGTGGTTTTCGGACCGCTCGGCTGTCAGATATTAATTATCACGGTAATCTCGTGATAAAAATTAGCGTTGTATTTTACGCGTTATTTTTCCGCGCAAAATATGAAGTAACAAAGCGCCGGTAGAGTTTATAACCATGGCAGTTCTCAACGCTCGTCGAGGCGAGAACGGAGAAAAACAGTACGGCATGGCGTCATGGAGCTGCAATTTATGTAAAAATAAAAGAACGCGGTCAGGAAGCCGCGCGAAACCCAGTCATTTTTATTTTCACGTGTCGCCCCGTGTTTAATTTTCTGCAACGCGTCCGGAAAAGGAAAAATCGACAAACGCGCAAGATTTTTAACTTCTCGCCGAACTTTAACATTTACGAACACATATGATCCGAATTCGCGCGAAACCACATGGTAAATCCCGGATGTTGCTTTTTATTCGATTCAGTGACATAAAACTGCGAATTGGCCGATAACGAACGTGGGTGGACGATCATATTTACATCGCCGATGAAAGTAAAAATAAATTGGCCACGTTAGACTAGAACTCTGTAAATTTACGATAAATCCGAACAACCTGCGCCGGGAGGAGTCTTCAACGAGCGATAATCTCCATATTCCCATTTCATCCGCGATATGCGTTTTATTCCACGTTTTCCCGATGGTTTATGCTCGACGCGATTAAAAACATAAATATTCTCGTGAAAACAGCGCGGAATAAATTTAATCTATTCCAACGCACTCCAATTGTAACGGAAGAATACGAGGGCAAAAGAGGAGGAAGAGAATAGTCGTATTTTACCATTGTCGTTGTTGGTTTGTACGTCGTTTGTAAAAGCGTAAGAAGGTGCGTCGTAATTCCGACTAAGTGATCTGTCATAACCGCTTAAGGGAAGAATGATCAAACGACATTAAGGAAAAGTAACATAAAATTTGCATAAAGATGAGCTATTAACAACGGGAAAGCAAAATGGAGTTGTAAACTTTTGTGTTCATTTAGTTGGCGTCCGCGCACGCCAACATAAAATTACAAACCTTAATTATTTAATATACGTATATTGTGTGTTCCGTGTCTAAGGAAATTATACTTAAAATACAGCATTACATGTTTTTATTAAATAAATTAAAGGAGCTTTGAAACTTACGATTATTTTGTAATAAAACATTGTCTCGTGCTGATTGTTATAGCGTGAGCATACGATGAAATATATTTTCAATAATTACGAAGCAAAGTTCATTGTTTGTAAAATCTCGGATTCGCGAGAGATGTTAATTCCGAGAACTTTCGGCGAGAAAAACGTTCTTTTTTTTCTTTGCAGATTAGAATGCGGGTCACGCGAATACGCGCAAATCCGTCAGCGTTTCGTACATTTTGCCACCCTTGTATACACATAGGTATGCGCAGATGCCTTATGTATGCCGATGGTGCAACCCCGGGGCACAATCTTATCCCGCCAACTAGTTAAATTAGACTGCGGGATCTCAACCGACGATGGTTACCAATCGTAGACGTGGATCGATCTGTATCGCCGCTTCCAAAGTGTAACCGGGTGTGCGGTATTTCGTACATGCGATTTCGAGACGCTACATATTTCATTTAAAAACTGACACGGGTAGACCGAATAAGTAGAATATTACGGGTCAGGAAGTTGCACGCGAATTCGTTGATTTACAAACTTGTAAAACCCTATGCCGTATCTCAGGACCCATTCGCAATTTCGTAGACCTATGGATTCATAAATTTCCGAATTCATACATTGCTAATAAGAAGGCAGATGTGGTCAGAAGTTACGGAGACTATTAGATTTCATAATTCAGAAATTTATAGGTCCTCCCTTCTTCCGGGTTTACACGAGTAGTGAGGTATCTGTTTCATCCAGACGCTTTTTGCGACAAAAAGAAACATAGAAATCTCACACGCGTAGTAATTAATAATATTAATTATACAATGTAATTAAAATGTCGTTGCTGGAAGCAGAGAGGCGGTGGCATAAAGAAATTACATGTGCGCTGCGTTCATAAGTGACCTGCATCGCGGAATTCTACTACGTTCTCTTTTCTTCCTGAAATGTGCGCCTCGGATCTCTCGAAGAGAGAAAAAATACGTGCATCCCCGCACCCCCAAGAAGCTCTTTTCCACGAGGATGGTCCTCCCGGCGAGTTACCTCAGTGAGCAATCTCACGAAATTGCACCGCGCGATTTCACGTCGTTCCGTCGACGTTACCGTTCGCATTCCCCACGTTCCCTTTTTCCGGGTCCTTCGACTTTCATTTGACTGACGGAAGAGGATGGGACGAAAAGCTAAAAAAGTACATGAGGAAAAGAGTTGTGGACAAAAAGATTTAGAGAATGTAGAGGTGGGGAAGAACGAAAGAGAAAGAGAGAAAGAAGAGGAGAGTAATAAAAATAAATTATCCCATTTCACACAGCCGATATTGCTGTTATCGAAAATAACAGATCCATGGCACGATCGATTGGATGTTAATTTAACAAATAGAAGTACGAATACGCATGATTGTTATTTTAATTCTCTAACATGTCTCTAAAGTAGGAACGTACATTTATCATCGAGCGTGCGTTGCTTATTTTTCATTCTTCTTTTTTCTTTTTTCAATTTTTTCCCCAAACCCACCCAGATATGCGCTTCGACCCACTGTTTTTCCTATTTCCGCCGGTCTCGCGAAAAAGTAGGCCCTGTGGGGATCAAACTGACATCCAAGCTTTTACGTAACGTGTGGCGAGCTACATCGCTGGACCAAGTATGTCATTTAGTGACTATGCTCGTTCGTATGCACGTCCTGCGTATTCCAGTTGACCATAATTCACGTGCTCAAATTCCGTAGAAGATTATTGTAGAAAGTTACACGGTTTCTATATTCAAAACCAATTTCTAGTGTTCGCGCAATCTGTCCAAATATATCTCTTGCAGACGTTTTCATGCAAACGCAAAGTTAATCACGATGACAAAACGATGCGATGCCTCATAAAGATTCGTGAATTTACTGCCATATTTGTCATAATATATTCAAAAAGTAGAAAAGCACGTAATATCACATTTTCCGGAAGTTTTTATGATGCATTATTATGTAACATTATCTTCGTTTAAATATACATACATGAGAAATATTTTTTCGGCGTATAATTACCGGGGAGAAAACATCGGTTCAAATTTTAAAATCAATATACGCAGGCAGTCACCGTTAAATATAATTTTCTCTCGTGAAGGAAATTTGTTCAAAATATTATAATTTGAGAAAGGATCGGGGCTGATAAATGATTGCATCGTCAGCGGCCCGTCGGTTTAAAACACAAAATGGTAGCGCGATAATTTAAATTTTAATTCGGCGTGATAAATGCACGTACAGAATACAAGTGTGAATGCCAGTGCTGAATGAAGAAAAGCAAAAGCTCATAACACGAATTTGCATTATATATAAAAATTGTGTAAACACTCACCCGCGCTTTCGGCGTCTGCTTTAGACCGATGGCAGGCTGGCTGCGGTTACTCTGCAAGGGAAAAAATAAAACGCTCGTTATCGAAGCGAATATGAATCTATAATGATCGGCATTACGGGGCACGCTCGCCAAACTGCGTCGTTCAATGGCGCGCAATGTCGACGGGCACTTTTATTCCGGAAAGTGAAGAGACGAACCGCGATAAATCGCCGTCGTAAAATGCGCCATCAAAATACAAACTCGCGGCTGTATCGGCGAGGTAGAGGAGGGGCCGGGGGTAACTGTATCGTAATTTGAGCGTATATTTATGACAGCGCACGTGCGATCCGGGTGCGGGCGCTGAAAGAGAGCGTCGGATGCTCAAATTCAAAACGCGCGCTTCCGACATTCGATCGCGCGATCTCCGGTGGACAACCGGAAGAATCTATCTCCGTGTAGAAAACAGGTCGCGGATTCGTGCGCCGCCGGCCGCCCTTTATGGCGTTCGGCCGGCTATTTCCGGCTCGCAAATAAATCCGCTTCGGGGTGCTCAAAGCGCCGCGGTATCGCCGCCATCGCCGTCACTACAAACGATAAAACGATAAATTCACGGCGAAACGTCGGGCCCGGTCGCGGACGCCCGTCATTGCTGCAAGTGCGTAAATCTTAATTGGCCTGTCGGGATATGGTCGCGATACGCTGGAGCAAACCAACCAGACGTGAGCGAACGAACGAACGAACGTCGGCCGGTCGTTCGTCCGCGGAGAAGCCCGGACGGCGAAATAACACCGCGTTGGAAACTTATTCCGGTAGAATGACGAAGCGGCCGAAACACAGAGAGTCACGTATCTCGCGGCGATTTAATTAAGCCGTCGCGCTCGCCATATATCCCGGCGTTGATTAAGCTGTTTTCGGCGGACGTCAATACGCATTTTTGTCCGCGCTGATTGCCGCCGCATTTGCAACGCGGCTAGCCCATTCTTATTTCCCCTTTTTTTTCTCGCAAATGTTCATTGAAAGACCGTAAAGCCTGTGCGGCGCACAGCCCCGATTTGCGCGGCGGTGGACCTTTTTTCACACGATTCTTTTTGTTTCTTGTTTTTCTTCCCTCTCCCCTTCCCCTTTTTTTTGGTACGCGGCGAAAAATCCCTCGCGTAAATTTTTGGGTATGGATTATTTCGCAGATGTTTTTCCTTCTTTTTTTTCCCCCCGTTATTCCTTTACACTGGTTCTCTTCGCGTAGTTCGCATCGCGTGGAATATTTAGTCCGCGTGCGAAGAAGCGCTCCGCACAAACCGAAGGATGAGCTTGTGTGTCCTGTGTAAACGCGAAAAGTACTCCCCTGTAAGTCGTAGGGCATCGTACGACATATGGGGTTTACTCCGCCCTTCGCATCCACGACCCGATGGAATAACTAAACGCGCGGTAAAAGCTCTCGACGCTATTTCCGCTAACTTTATCAGCGCGAATTTTGCATAATATAATCTTTTATATACGGATACATTTAGATAACAAAACTTTCAGCGGGCGCGTATCGATTCAACGGTGTATCAACGACAGCGTGAAAAACTTTTTCCCTCCCCTTTCAGTTAGATGTCACGTCTTTTTAATTAAAAAGGAAGAACGAAGTCGAAGTCTCCGTATTAAAGAAAAATATTCTCTTATTAAAGAAGAAGGCCGCGGGCGCGGATTCACGGAATCAGCGCGATGCTCTCGTGCGGCTTAATACTTCCTCGAAACTTTTTTCTTACATGCTCGGAAAAATCCCGGAGAGCTTAATCCGGGCCAGACATGTTGATTACGTTGGTATTTGCATTTAAATGTTCTCAGATTGCAACTTTCCGCTGCGGCGTCCTACCAGTCGACCGAGCGCTCGGGTGCCGATGATAATTAGCGCGCATTTAGCGGCATTTCGCCTGTCCAAAATCGGCTAACGGATATACTGAGAAACAAACGAGCTCTGTACGAGACGCGATAATTAAGCGGTTTATCTCGATTAATTCCGGATAATTACGTCTGGCAATTAGTCCAATTGCCGCGATTGTCCGGCGCAGTACGAGCGGCGGGGACCTACCGGGCCCATTGGCCGCAGTTCGGCGCGTAAACCGCGACAACTGTGTCGCCCTTAGCGGCCCGCGACCGGTGCTCGACGGATTTCGCCAGTCGTCCTGAATCTCGAAAATTGCCTCGTAAACCGGGAACGCCAACGGAACCTCGGACTCGAGAGCGTTTCCCCGGTTACACTTCCACCGGCGACCAATTTAAACCGTCATTTACATTTTATCGCGCAATAAGACGACCGACAGACCGACCGAGCGAGCGAGCGCGAATTACGCCGCCGAATATATTCGCTTGGCGCGCACCCGCGCGTTCCTCACGCGCGGCGGGAAAATTTGCGGTTGCTTCTTGGTCGACGGCAGGTTGGCTCTCGCCGGTTGATCGCGACCCCCTGTCATCGTAGACAAAAATTACGCGAGCGAACTTAGACGTCTTGGAAGATAATCCCACGGGACTGGGAAGGAATGAAATTCCGACCAAGAGCCCTCGCCAGGTCCAGGACGTTGGCTGCTGGTCGTCGGCGAATTTGGCAGTAACGCCGGCCGGCCATTATTGTATTCGTAATTACTCCGAGTTTTCCATCGCACTCCCGCTGCACGCCGTGGATATAATATTCTAAAGCGACTCGACCTACTTGCAGTAATTGCGGACCGTCCAGCTTTCTTAACCTGCTCGTATGGTCTCGGCTTCCGCCCCATTCCGCCGACATTCACTGCCATTTTCTTTTCACCCCTTACGTCTCCCCGCCGTCTACTTAACTGTCGAGATGCGGCTCGCGTCGAAAGCATCACAAAGCCGTGGAAGGAGAGGAGGAAGAAAAAAAGGAAGGGCCGGAATGAAAAGGGGACGTACAAACAATAAGACGGGAACTTCGACGAAAAATCGCAGCCGCCTGGCGGAAACGCGTCGGTGCAGCCAAGCGGCGTCTCTCGCGCGCGCACGTCGGCCGAACTTTTTCGTTCTCGCTTACGAGTACCCGCCTCGCCTCGCGCGAGAAGTTTCGACGGGCGTTCGCCCACGGCCGGGCGAATTTATCGGCATCGCGGTCTATTAACTCGTAATGGCATTAAGTCGACCTGCCGATACCCGATATGCCGTAAAATTATTTTCTGTTCGAGCGCGTACCGGATTACGCGACAGCTTCGCGCGAACCGCTTTCTTAACCGCGCGCGCATAATAAGGATCGTAATCCAGGCATATGCCGATCGAGATTAGTGCAATTAACGAGTTTACGGTCCGCTGGACAAACCAAATGATAAATAAAAAAGACATGCAAAACATACGAAGAACACAATTAAAAACCTATCGGGAAAATGGAAAAGTGTGGAACAAAACAAATATATTCTTCCTGCACGTTTCATACAAATTGATAGTTTCTTTCTCTCTTTCGCTTTCTCTCTCTTTCGCTTTCTCTCTCTTTTTCATTCTTCGTTATATGTTTTATTTATATACAATCACAGCGCGCAGAGATACGAGATGCTTCATTATCAATAATAACAAATTGAATGGAAGAAATATTCGAGGCGCACATTCGCTAGCTTTATTCTACGCTCATGTCTCTCGTTAAAAATAATCGTCTCTTTTCTGTATGAGATCGTTTTTATACCGCGGGGAAGCAATAGGTAGCAAATAAAGGATAATTTAGAAATCATTCTGCGATGTTATTCATAGCCGTTGCTTTCTTTTATTTTTGATCGTATCCGACCCATCGACATGGTACGTACTCGTCTTATATTGCGAGAACAAAGAATCATATAAATCGCAAAAAAACACAATTCGCGCAAGAGAAGAGAACAATGTTAAAAGTATCACAGTTGTAAAAGCGCTTCTATCCCGAACCAAGATTTTGACGCTATTCTGGCGCTTTTAAAGATAGTTTGCGTTTATTTAGCAACCTATAGACTAATAAGCTTACTTTGACAACTTTTTAACTTCTCTCTTCAACCTTTAATTCTACAGATGAGATTTTAATGCTATCTTCAACAGCTTTTTGGCATTAAAACAGTGAAAACGGAAATTTAAGACATTATCAGGGTCAAAGTAAGGATTATATTATTACAATATTGAAATACTGAACTTATTTTACTATCCGAGTCAAAATTTAAATTCTACATTAAGTCTATTAAGTTCTACATTCTTCTACTTAATATAGGACTAAAATTTCGGTCGCTCAGATAATATTACCCGCTAAAGAAATCGGGACGAAATTAATAACTAAGATCCGCGTTATCTAATCATCAGCGTCGTAAATAGGACGAAATGGACAAAATTCCACCACCGTCTGTTTCTTCGGCGTTAGCCGTAGGTGAAATCCACTGCCGATTGGTTGACAGGTGAGGATTGGTTAGTCAAGATCGCTGCTACGATTAATTCAGCCTTGAGCCTGCGCCAGAAGCGTTCGAATTGAAAACAAATCAATCCGGTGGAATGAAACGTGGCGTGAGAGCTTCGGGTATCAGGACGCGCCCGGGAAAATCCATCGACGGGTCACGTACAAAGGAAACGGGAATTCCATTTCGCGGAGGAAGCCTCTGACGTCTCCGATGTGCCATTCGGATAATTATTCAGTCACGGCGAGAGCTTTGGACGGCTGCGATCGGAGAAAGAGGATAATATTTGATTCCGGGGACGAAAGAGATGCATTCGCGCGCTCGCTCGCTCGCTCGCGTGTACTGTTTAATAGGAATTCGCCCTTCTCGACGCGATTCATCCCATTCGTCTCACATCTAGCGCACTCTTCCTCCCTCTCTCTCTCTCTCTCTCTCTCTCTTTCTCTTTCCCTCGTCCTCTCGTGATATTTTAATAATTCGCAGCTTTCGCATAACTCGCGGCTCGACAAAGCGAAACTTCAGTTCTGTATTTCACGCGTATATATGAAGTCACGTGTGGGATTCTGCGGTAAAATGGCGAAATGGGGCTGTACTCGCAGGGACAATGAGAGACGCGAGATACCACGTCACTGTCGAGTGCACCGCGGTAATTTTCCAGTAATGGGTCTTTCATTGGGAACTAAA